CCCCAGGAAAACTCCCCGCTTCCTCCTCCCAAGGCAGGCGGCATCATCCCAGCCGCCCCCAGGCGGGTGGGCAGCCGGTCAAGCAGGAAATCGGCAGCCACAGCCCAGCCGCCCACCCCGCTTTCCTCTTCCTTCTCCTCCTCCCCCCCCCCCCGGGGCCGCCCCCCCCCCCCCCCCCCCAAATCGCCACTCACCCTCTGAGGGAGGATTTTGTCCGCCATTTTCCTCCGCTTGGCACTGCGGGGAGAAAAGAGACAGCGGATGCCCAGGGGGGTCGGCGGGCAGAGCAAGGGAGCCTGGCCTCCCAGGCACAGCAGCCCCCACGGGGTGGGGGGGGTGGGGGGCTTGGTCCCGGGAGGGTCTCGGGGGGGTCTCTCCTTCTCCTACCCCCCCCCCCCGCGGCTGCCCACTCCCCCCCGCTCCCTCTGCCCAGCAGGTGGGTGCCAGCTGGTACAGAGCAGTGACTGGCCGCAGGGGGGAGAGAATCAGGTGCCCCCCTCCGCCTTCCTCCTCCTCCTCCTCCTCCTCCACGGCCGCCCCCCCCTTCAGGCCCCCCCCCCCCCCCCAAGGCTGAGGAGGGGGGCTGGATCCGCTCTTGGGCCTCCCCTCCCTCCCTTTTGGCCGGTCGCTCACCTCCGGGACCGGTTCTGCGGGGCGGCGCCCTGGGCCTGCTGCTGCTGCTGCTGCTGGGCCTGCGGTGGCGGTGGCGGCTGGGCCTGCGGCTGGGCCTGGGCCGGGGGCGGCGGCTGGGGCTGGGGGGCCGCCCTCTTGCGCGTGGGCTCCGTCACCGCCGGCGGCATCCCGGGACGCACCGAGGCGCTTCCGACGTAGGGGGCGCCCGGGGGTCCCATGGGGGCCCCCTGGTGGGGCATGCGAGCACCGGAGGGCATCCCAGGGCGCTGGGGGTGGGGGGGAGAGAAGCAGAGGGGGGAGGCTAATGAAACGGGCCCCACAGCCACATCCCACCGGAAGGAGCCGAGACAGAGAACACGCCCCCCCTCCCCAACCCGTCTGTGTTGGGCCCTCTGCTGCTTGGGGGTGGGGGTGGGGGGGTCCACAGAGGGCACAAACTGCCCCAGAGTCAAGCCCCCCCCCCGTAGTTTCAGAAGCAGCCCCCGTCCCCAGGGGGCCAACTGCAACAGGAGGGGCTGGCATCCCATCAGCCGTGGGGCAGATCCGCTCTAGGCATCAAACGTTTCCGCTTGCAACCACCTCTCCTTTCAACTCCCTCCCCAGGTGGTGCCTTGGGAAGGGAATCAGGGCCCTCTCCTCCCTCGGAAGCCCTGCAACCCGCATTGCTCCCTTCTCCGTTCCTCCTGGCGTGCCTTAGGATGAAGAGGGGGTGGGCCTGGGTCTTCCTCCTCGCTTCTCCTCCCTAGCCAATGCAGAACCCGACGGGGGGGGGGGGGGGGGGGGAAACTGTTTCCAGGAGAGGAACCCCCCCCCCAGGCTGACCCAGGTCTTGGGAATACCCCGCCCCAGGTCAGCCCCCTCAAGTCATGGACGAAAGCAGCCTGGTGACGCCTCTGGGATGACCGAGCGTGGCACAAAGACAAACCCAGCCAGATATCATTAGCTCCTCAACTTTGTCCCCCCCCCGCAGTGGGCCGGTTATCTTCCGGTTTGGAGAAGAAAACTTTCCCAGGCACCTGCAACAGCCTTTGCCTGCAGATATTCGAGTCCAAAAAACATTGTAAACGGAAGAGTTGAGACTATAAATCCAACCAAGCAAGATAATAAAGAGAATAAAATAAAAAAAATAAAAAAGATAATAAAGATAATAAAATAAATAAAAAAAGGATAATAAAGATAATAAAAGAGTTCTGGAAGTGAAGTGACACGGCAAGTGAATCCAAGCCAGTGGGGAGGAGGCCCGCAACTCAAGAGAAGAGCAACAACAGTCAAAACGTTTCCGCTTGCAACCGCCTCTCCTTTCCACTCCCTCCCCAGGTGGTGCCTTGGGAAGGGAATCAGGGCCCTCTCCTCCCTCGGAAGCCCTGCAACCCACCTTGCTCCCTTCTCCGTTCCTCCTGGCGTGCCTTAGGATGAAGAGGGGGGGTGGGCCTGGGTCTTCCTCCGAATCCCCTTCTCCCCTGTTCCTACCTCTCCCCTGCTCTGCCCAGCCTGACTTTGCCCTTCCCCGATGCCCTGACAGCTCTTCCTCTTCCTCTTCCAGTCACGACACCCTCAATCCGGCCTTTGGGGTCAACAGCTGGACCCCCAAGAATCCTAACAAGAGTTGGAAGGAACCTGATAGGTCATCTAGTCCAACCCCTCGCACCAAGCAGGTCGCCTGATCTAGAAGGTGGATCCCAGGGGGCAAGATTGGTGTCCAACAGTTTCCCGGTGGCTTTCTCTCCCCCGGTAGCCCCCCCTTGACTAAAGCCCCCCCCCCGCCAAGGCTGCCATTTATATAAGCGGTACAGAAGTGCAAGCCGGGGGGGGGGGGGGTCAGCCTAGAAGACCTCCGAGGCCCCTCCCAGATCTCCTCTGATTCTGGTTCCTGGCTCTGTGGCCCCCCTGGGAACAACAACCACTCCCTGGACAGGCTCCTCCGGGGGGGGGGGGCCCCCCGCCGGGGCCCGGGGGGGGCTCGGGGGGGGAAGGGGGGGGGGGGGCGGCCGAGCCCCCCCTGGGGGGGGGGGGGGGGGCGGGGTGCTGAGAGGAAAGGGGCCGCTTCCCGGACACAATGCCATCCCTCGGCTCAGCCACTCCCTCTCTCCACACTGCCACTAAGTGTGTTCACTAAGACTGCGCTCCTCCTCCTCCTCCTCCTCCTCCTCCTCCTCCCTCGGACCCTCTCTCCTCCCGCTTAGGCCTACATCCCTATTGCTTGGATCTTCTCCGTTTATATTGCTTTATTTGTTCCCCAGTACGACCTGGTTGCTTATTAGTATCCTATGACTATCCTTAGGATTCTCCACGAAGGTGTTTTTTTTCCCCCCCTTTCCCTTTACGTACCCTGGGAGCATTTGCCCCACAAACTCCTCGTGTCTCCAATCACAACTGGCCAATAAAGAATTTCTATTCTGTTCTATCTATTCCCTATTCCCTATTCTACGTTCCCTATTCCGTATTCTATTCCATTCCCATTCTATATTCCATATTTTATATTCTTTATTCCGTATTCCGTATTCTATATTCTGTCCTCTCCTATCCTGTCCTTCCGGCAAGCACCCCTGGGAGAACAAACTTCTTCGCCAAGTGGGAAGCAGCAGGCAGCCGACCCCGTCAGTTGCAAAGAAATCACTTGAGGCGAACAAGTGGGGAGGGGCAAGGGACCCGTGCCGTGAAGAGAGAGAGAGCGGAGGGCAGGCGATGTAAAAGGCCGCCTGCATCCCACGCCTGCCTGCTCCGATGGGGCTTCGCTCCTTTCGGCCGACCCCCCCAGCCACCCTGAACTTCCCTTTCCGGTTGGGGGTGTGTGGGGGAAGGCTGGGGGGGGGAGGGGAGCGGGGGCGCAGGCCAGGATCTCGATCAAGGCCAGCCGGGATCCTTTGACTGGCCAGAAGGCAACCACAGAGGCCCCCGAGGCCAGAGAGTCCCTGGGCGCAAGGACACGGGGCTGACTCATCCCCACCACGGGGCAGAGTGGTGGCAGGTGGCCCGAACGGTGGGCGGGGAGGCCTTTAGAAGCCACCTGGCTGAAGGCAGACGGGAAGGGAGGCCACCAGGTCAGGGCGGCCTGGGGAGCGTCGGGGGGGGGGGGGGGAGGCCATCCGCCCTGGGGCGCCCCGGGGGGGCGGCCGATCCAAGGACCGAGACCGTCCCCAAGCCACACTGGGGGACGCCTGGCGAAACCTCGGCCCTGTATAACAGATTACCAGAGTTGGAAGGGACCTGATAGGTCATCTAGTCCAACCCCCCCCCCCAAGCGCCCAAGCATTTCTGCCCAAGGGCGGTATCGACCAGGCCAAGTTTTTCTTTCGTCCGTACGCCCCTCCCCCCCGACTGTTGTGGTTTGGGGGCCAGGCCTATGGCAACGGGCATTGGTAGCTAGTGCCAGGCCGAAGCCGAAGGGCCCAGTGGCTCTCTCCAGCCTTCCCATCCTCCCCTTCTCCTTCGGGCTCCACTAGCCGGGGACACCCCCTCCCCAAGACGCCAGGCCTCCTCCTGGGCTGTTGAAGTGGGGGAGGAAGAGCAAGAGCCAGTCCCCGAGAGGGCAAGCAAGGGCTCCCCAGCTAAGGGGCTCACTGGGGCCTCTCTACTCCGCCCCCCCCCTCATACTGGGCGGAGGAGGAGGAGGAGGAGGAGGAGGAGGACGGGCCTGCAGGGAGGGGACTCCGGAGTGTGGAAGAGGCCAGGAAGAGGAACGTTGTCCAGGGGTCTGCGCAACTGACAACAACAACAACAACAGGGCCTCTCTAACAGCTTCTCCTCCTCCTCCTCCTCCTCCTCCTCCTCCTTCCTCCCACTTTCCTCCTCCTGGGCTGCGCCATCCTAAGATGCCAAGAGCCAAGAAGAAAGTTTGGCGGGAATGCCTCCGTGCCAAGGGCAACTTTTGGGAGGGGAGGGGGAGCCTCGGGCGCTCCTCCTCCTCCTCCTTTCGTTTCGGGTCCAAAGGAGGGGAGGGCTCTTAAAGGAGCCCGGCCTTCCCGGGGACTCCCCCCAAGCAAGGAGCGCTGGGGAGGAAGAGATAAGACCCCCCCCCCCAGGACGGGACAGGAGCCAGGGCAACGCAGACAGATTGCTAGAGATAGATTTCGACAGGAATTCAGCTGCGCTCCATTCCAAGCTGCTCCTAGGGGGGGCCCTGCCAAGGGGAAAGGGATCCCTTTGGATAACCTCAGGAGGTCCCCCCATCAGGGGGCCACAGACAGCCTTTTCGCAACTGGGCCGCGGGAGGGACCAGCTGGGCCGCCCACCAATGCTGATGCGCCCAGCCCCACTCGGGCGAGGCTCACGGGCCCTGGGTGCCCCACTGTCTCGACCACTCGCGACCGCACGCACGCCGGCCTCCCCCCCCAAAACCACCCTTTCTTCTCCTCCCTCCCTCCTCCGCTCCGGCCCGCGGGAGGGAAACTCTTGTGCGAAGGGTCTGGGCTGGACTAGAAGACCTCCCAAGGTCCCTTCCGCCTCTGGGGGTCCTGTCAGTCTGATGCCAAGACGCAGCAGCTCTGCAGGGCCCCTCCTGGCCCCAGAAGGGGCTCCGCCAACGGCAGCACCAAGCCCCCACCGAAGCCGCTGCCAGCCGGGGGCTACGGGAGAGAGGCCTGGAGTGGGGGTGGGCAAGGGGGCCTGCTCTCCGCCCCCCCCCCCCGGGGGCAAAGCCCACCCAGGCACCAGGCCTGCGCCTCCCCCTCCCCTGAAGCTGCCCGGAGGAAGGGGCCCCATGCCACGAGCCTCCTCCACCAAACCCTTCAGCAGCCGCCAAGACCCAACCGATGCCCAGGTGGCCCCTGGAGTCCAAGCTGCCTTGAAACCCCAGCGCCCCGTTGGGGGCTGTGGCAGGCCCCGGGGTGGCCCAGGCCAGGTTTTTTTTTGGGGGGGGTGCCCGGGCCAAAGAGGGGAAGGGCCACCCCCCCTTCTAGCTCTCGCTCCAGCTTTGCTGGTGTCCGGCTGGGGAGAAGGGCGGGGAGGGGAAACCTCGACCCTCCCCTCCCCCCCTCCCGGGAAGGAGCCAGACGGGGGTGGGGCGTGGGGGGGAGACCCGGGACACCCCCGAGGCTCCCCACCTGCTCTCCAAGCCCACGCTGGGGGGGGGGGGGGGGGGGGGGGACCCGGGACCCCCCCGAGGCTCCCCACCTGCCCTCCAAGCCCAGGCGGGGGGGGGGGGGAGGAGAGGAGAGGGGACCCTCCTCCCCCCGCCCGGCTCGGCCTCCCCTCCCTCCCCTTCCCGGCCCCGAACTTTTCCGCCACTCACCACCCCGTGGACTAGAAACTCGAAAAGTTTGCTCTTGGTGGCCTTCCGGGCGCCCCCGCTGACTTCCTCGGCGGCCATGGGGGCTCCGCTCCCCGCCCGCCCGCCCGCCCTCCTCCCCGGCCGCCTTTCTTCCCTCGCCTGGGCAGCCGAGCCCTTGCTGGCCGCTCCTCCGCTCGCACTTCTTCTACCAGCGGCGCCGCCGGCCGAGCGGGGAAAGGGGGCCCCGGCAGGGCGGGCGCGACGGCCCACGGCGGCCGCTCAAGATCCCCGGCGCGGACGGAGGAGGAGGAGGAGGAGGAGGAGGCGCCGTCGGGAGCGCTGCGGGCGGAGGAGGAAGAGGAGGAGGAGGAGGAGGAGGAAGGGCGGGCGAGGCCCGAAGAGGAGGAGGAGGAGGAGGAAACGTCCGCCGCGCAGCCCTCCGCCCGCCTGCCCGTCCTTCCCCGGACACGCAAGGACTGCCCGCTTGCCCGCCGCCGCCGCGCCCCTCCCTCCTCCTCCCTCCCTCCGCCGCTCCTACTGCTGCTTCCGGGCCTCCTCGCTCCTCGGCCCTGCCTGACTGGCCGCTCCTCCGCCATCCCGAAAGGCACCGGAGGAGGCCGAAGAGCCCCGCGGGAGCCGGCAGGAGGGAGGGAGGGAGGGAGGAGCAGCTCCCCGCCCCGAGGAGGAGGAGGAGGAGGAGGGGGGGAAGGAGAAGGAGGAGGAGTCGTCCTTTGCGTCCGCTGCCGGCCCTGCCTCTGCCCCTGCCGCCGGTGTGTGCCGGCATCTCGCGCCGCGCCATCGCCCTGGCAACAGAGGCGGCGTTGCCAGGTAACGGCCCAAGCGGGGTACCCAAGGCCACATCGCCTGCTTCCCCGGGACGGCGCCTCTCTCGTTCCGGGCGGGGACGGGGGACGGGAGGGGGGGGGGGGGGGGGGGGGGGGGGCGGACCCCGGACGGGGGAGCCCCCCCCCCCCCCCCCCCCCCCCCCGGCGCCGGCCCCAGCGCCGGCGGGGGGGGGGCCAGGCGGGGGGGGGGGGGGAGGGGGGCTGAACCCCTCCCCAAGTGGGGCTTCTGCGCGACATCGGCCCCTCTGATTGGCCCGGCCCGTTACCGGGCTCCCGCGGTAGGGCGGGGGGTGAGAGAGAGAGAAAAAAAAAACGAGGCAGGCGCATGCGCAGCGCCGTGGCTTCTCTTCCCCCCTCCCCTCTTCTGAAGGTCAGTCGGACGGACTCAGGGAAAAGGGGG